CCATGTACTCAGCTTCGGTTGTGGATAATGAAACTGTGCGTTGTTTACGGGATTCCCAACTGACGGCTGCGTTAGCATACATGAAAGCGTAACCTGTGTACGATTTTCGGTCGTCGACATTTGAACCCCAATCGGCGTCGGTGTAGCCGAATAGGTCCTTGCCTGTTCTTTTGAAAATGAGTCCTTCTTCTGCGGTGCCTTTGAGATATCTGAGGACTCTTTTCGCTGCTTCCCAGTGCTTTCGGCCAAAGCATGAGTTATACTGACTTAATACGCTTACTGCGTGGGCTATGTCTGGACGAGTGCAAACTGCTAGATACATTAGCGAGCCTATAAGACTTTGATATGGGACGTTCTTCATATTCGCTTCTTCTGCCGGTGTACTTGGTGACATTGTTTTTGATAATTTTTCACCTGGTAACATTGGGGTGGATATGGCTTTCGCATCTTGCATGTGGAATCGATTGACGACTTCATTTGTGTACTTTCGTTGGTGAATCTTTATCTGGTTTGTTTCTGCGTTCTGCTCGAATTCGATGCCTAAACAGTATCTTAGGGGTCCCATATCTTTCATGTCGAAGGTTTTTGCAAGTTCCTTCTTAAGGTCGTCGGTTGCTTCTTTGTTGTTTGATGCTACCATGAGGTCATCAACATATATAAGAACAACTGTAAGTATATTCTCACTTCGCTTGGTGTATACACAAGGGTCTGCGCTGCAAGGTTCCAAACCAAGCTCTTGCAGCTTCTCGTCGAGCTTCTTGTACCATTGACGTCCTGATTGCTTTAGACCGTAAAGTGCCTTTTGAATTTTGCACACTTTGTCTGACTTGTAGGCCTCTTGTTCGTGACCACTGAGAATATGCTTTAGTTCTTCAGGTATTTCCACATAGATGTCTTCGGTAATTTCACCATTTAGATATGCGCTTACGAAATCGAGTTGTTGAATTTCCATTTCCAATTCAACGGATAATGCCATGAGCATACGTATGGAGCTCATTCGTGCAACAGGAGCAAATGTTTCTGTATAATTTACACCTGGTGTTTGTGCAAAACCTTTAGCGACGAGTCTTGCCTTTCGTCTCTGGATTGATCCATCCGCATTTCGTTTGGTTCGTAATACCCATTTCGTTTCGATGACCTTGGTGTTGGGCGGACGATCTACCAACTCCCACGTGTTATTTTTCTTCAGTGCCTGGTATTCTTCTAGTAAGGCTGCTTTCCATTCTTCACCTTCGGGACGAGCGAGTGCTTCTTCAGCGGTTTGCGGGTCCGTCTCTTCAACGTGGCCTTTTTGTTTAGAGGTGTTACGTGTTTCTGCTTCTTCAATTATACGCCTTGGCTTGGGTGGTCTTCCCCTTTTCGGCTTGGTGGTGACTGGGGTACTTATGATTCCATGATCCTTCGCATCTTCAACTTCATTTTTCATATTCACGGCATTGGTTGGTTTATTTAAGATTTCGACCACTATTTCATGGTTTCCCGTGATAAGCTGCTTTGCGTCGATGAATTCGTCATATTCGGAATTTCCTTCAAAATGATCTGTAAATTTTACATCTCGGCTCTTGAAGATTTTTCTCTCATCTGGACTCCATAGTCTATACGCTTTAGACTGGTTTTCGTATCCAATAAAAATACATCGTTTTGATTTTGGCTCGAATTTTCCTTTTCCAGGTTTCTTTTCTAGCATGTAGGCGATTGTGCCAAATTTCCGCAAATAGTTAACGTTTGCCTTTTTGCCGGTCCATAGAGTGTAGGGTATTTCACCATTTAGACTTCGTGATGGACACCGGTTTCTGATGTGATTCGCCGTGATGATCGCTTCAGCCCAGAAACTTGCTGCAAGTCCACTTTGAAGTAACATGCAGCGCGCCATATCGATTAGAGTTCTGTTTTTCCGCTCGGCTACTCCATTTTGCTGTGGAGTATATTCAACAGTTAATTCATGCTTTATACCAGCTTCTTTCAGCAGCCGAGAAAATTCAGAGTTTACATACTCTTTACCATTATCAGTACGCAACGTTTTGATTTTCTTTCCTGTACTATTCTCGACCATGCTTTTGTATTGTGTGAACTTACTTAATACTTCGTTCTTTTGTTTGACAAAGTATACTTCACACCACTTTGATTTGTCGTCAATGAATGTGACAAAATACTTCGAGTGACCATTGGACTGGGTGCGCATTGGTCCACAGACGTCGGAATGTACTAGTTCAAGGAGTTCATTTGACTTTGATTCGGAGTTCGGAAAGCGATTTTGTGTTTGCTTCCCCTGAATGCAGACCTCACACTGCTGCAAATTCTGTTTGACATCGGCCTGGATGCCTACCACTTTTTCAGTTTTGATCATACCTTTCAAATCGGCCTCGTTGAGATGCCCGAGTATTTCGTGCCATTCTTGAAGATCCTTCTTTTGCTCAGTTGCTTGAGCGACGTTGCTGCGCGATGGCGGCTCATTTATGTAGTACAGATTTGATTTTCGCAATGCTGTGACTATTTTCTCGCCTGTTTTGGGATTTAGTACTACTGCTCCGTTACGACGAAAGATGACCTCGAAGCCTTTATCTGTAATCTTAGAAACAGACATTAAATTTGATCTTAAGTCTGGTACATATAACGTTTCCCCCAAACTTGCAGTTCTTTTTGAGGTCTCTAATAAAACTTCTCCGCACCCTGCTATTTTAGCAGACATGTTATTTGCGAGCTTCAGTTTTTGGTTTTCACTATTTCTGACAATATTTTGAAATTTGTCCTTTTGAGAACACATGTGCGATGTGGCTCCAGAGTCTAGACACCACATTCCTTTTTCACCACATATTTGAAAAGCAATAGCGGTATTACTTGCGTTTTCAGGTCTTTCACGCTTTTCTTTGTTTTTGTTATTGTTTTCGAATTGATTTTTCGGCCTCGATCGGCATTCTCTGGCTTTATGGCCTATTTTTCCACAATTGTAGCAAGCTAATTTAAACTTTTCAGTAGGTTTGCTACTTTTCACTTTAATATAACTTTTTCGTGCAAACAATGCGTCACTGGACTCGACATTGTTGCGTTTTCGCGCTTCGTATTCTTCGAGCATTTTCGTTTTTAACGATTCCGGATCGGGTAGTTTGTCTTGCGTTTCGATCGCGACTCTAAACTGTTCGTATTCGTCTGGCACACTATACAATAGTAATATTGTTACAAGATCATCCATGATTTCCATGTCCATTTCGCGAATTTTGTCTACCGTGTCAAAGAAATTTTGCAAATGGGTATGCATGTCCCCACCATTTTGCATTTTCAACAAAATAAGCGATTTCAGCAAATGAGCTTTGCGCGCGGGACCTTTTGATTGGTATACACTTTTTAATTTGTCCCATAATTCCTTGGATGTCTCACAGTTTTTCACTTGTCTCAATTCTGTCGTAGAGATTGACAAAATTAAGTCGGATTTTGCTTTAGAATCATTCAATTCCCATTCTGCAACTTTTTCAGCAGAACTATTAGTTGGCAGCACGTTCTGGCCACTTACATATTTCCAAACATCGTTTTTTATTAATAACGCTTGTATCTGTATTTTCCAGGTATCATAATTGTCCCTTCCGAGGGGATCAATTTTAATATTTGCATAACTCATATTGTCGCACTTTTTCAGCGATTAATACTGTACTTTTGTTTTTCTAACACACTTCTTCTTACTTTTTTTTTTTTTTTGCGTTTGTTTACGTTTCGTGTTTTCGTTGATCGATTATTCGATAGTTTCACCGTGTACTTTTTCAACACTTTGATTTTTCACACGCTTTATGTGCTTAACACTGATTTGTGGATTTCAAATTTAAACGACCACTTTGTTGGCGTCAGTCACCAATACACACAAGATTTTTGCACATACACATGTACGTATGTACGTCTACCACATACACACATTTACATACAATTATGCGTCTATTGCATTGATTATTTCACAATGAATTCGGCATCACCAAAACTTTTATTTATTAGGTTTCACTAAGGTATATGAGTGCAGTGGAAGCTTGCTGGGCCCATAACCTGTTGTTGTTTTTAATGTAATAAGTTTGATGTTTATTGATATGTATGAATATATGATGTGTTGTGTGTGATACAATATAGCTGCAGCGAATGCGTCTGCTTCGATCTACATTCTTAGAGAGACTAACTTTGTTAGTGATGGACAGATGAGTCGATACATATGGTTTGATACATTTCAACAAATTTAATTCTTAGTTTTTGTAGCTTTTGGTTTACATAAATCAAGCTGCAGGTCTTATCCTTGGCAACCAGAGTCTTTTAGTAAATATGGAAGCGTTCTAAGGACAAAGAGTACAAAATTTAAACACAACATTATGGAACTGGCCCTTTTTAAATATCCTAGCAGCAATTAAAGCAACGTTATGTCTAAGAAGACTTAGGGATATTCAGTTATCAACAATGTTTGCATAACAAGAGATACGCTAATATTCCAGGCTACGAAATTTCGGATGAGATACAGAAAAATCAGGAGACGATCCCTTTTTCTACGAAAAGCAAAGCCGATCCGGACTGAATACTCTTTAAGGAATTGAATAGACGTATGAAATCCATAATTAAGTAAGGTTATTTAAAGTACCTACAAATTAACTTCGCAACTAAAATAAAATTTTTAAATGATTTGAGGCAACAAAAATATTAAAATAATAAAAACATTTGTAATTGAAAGACTTATTCGGGGCTTTAAGTTTTTAGTAATAGATTTTATGACTTGTCAAACTCCATTTAACCCCACTTGTAGGCTGAATTATTACATATTTCTTCTGGTTTTGTACCGAACTAGCATTTAACTTTAGTATTCTTATTTATTTATTATTCGCACCACTGTGCATGCCAAGTGCCTCTTGGCCTTTTCTATAAATTAATTGCAATGCATTAAAAAAGTCATTAAAAAGCTGGCCGTGTAATTAACAGCTTAGCTGCACTTAGCTTCTAAGTCCGCGTATCAGCCCCAGACCCGTACCACCCACACTCACCTGTAATAGTTGAGTATTTGTGTGAAGACGCCCGGATGCCGATCGAAGAAATACTCGTTAAGTACCGGATCATAATTGGCCAGCGCCTCGGTCAGTCGCGAGAGGCGAGTTGCGGGTATTTTCTTGAGCGTTGCCTTGTACGTTTCATATCTGGAAAAGTTATAAAATGAAAGCGAATTAGCATCGAAATTAAATGCACGCATTTAACCCATAATACCCTAACAAATTACTTAAGCCATTATTCATTTTGTTTTACTTCTCGTCGTTGCTTTTTTCTCTGCTCGACCCTTCTTTGGCTTCATCCATTAAATCGAGTCACAAAAAAAAGAATTTATGAAACATGAGTCGACCAATGGCTATTGCCGTTAGCTGTGAGCTGAAGGGTTGGCCAAATCCAGCCATAAGCCATTTGCATACATTTCGCACATGCCTCAGCTCCAGTTTTTTGGTTTTTTATTTTTATTTTAATGCGAGTGACCCCTTTTTTGCGACTGATGTCCTTCTCTTCTTCGCTGGCCATATAAACTCTTCAAGGCAAAAACTATAAATGGCCAGCCAGCTAGTCAGTCACAACCCAATGCCAAATGTAGTCTTTTCCGGAGCAAGGTGTGTGCTTTAAAGATCATCATTGGAAGCCCAACACAGTATGCAGAGGGAAAATGTAAATGAAATGCCAGCAACCGGCTGAAGAAGAAATTAAATGCATTCCAAAAATGAAGGTAAATGTTAGCTAAGATTTCAACAAAAAGCAAAAACTAATCAAAAATGTTATCAGATTAGCAGCAAAGCTTGAGTTTATGAGAATGAGTTTCTGTTGTTAAATCGATGTTTGTTAAATTCTTGAGCTTTTCAAATTGTTAAGGACACACTAGAAATAGTGATACAAAGTACAAACAATATTTTGAATTACAATTTCAATTTAATTCGATTTTGTCTGAATTGTAGAATTTATTTTGTATACATTTGCTTATTTGTGTCTTATGTGAACAAAATAACAATATAAAATACAAAGCTAGAGGGAAATGTAGCCTCCCCAGATACCAGTTCGTTGGCCGTGATGTTCGAATAAGAAATTGGTTTCACCTCAAAACTAAATTATGTAATAGAATTTACCGCCGTCTGCTAATTTTATTTTGTTTTTTTATCATTCGTTTTTTACTTTAATTGTTTATCAATAAATATCCCCTATATCTTACAGCATATTTTAATCGGTTGAAGAGGTTTATTGTCTGTTGCTGATTGTATAGATTTTCCTGTAGGTTGTACTAGCATAATTCATATTTTAACTATGCATCCAGGCATATTTTGAAGCCTTTACATCTTTAATCTCATTTAAGATCAGACAGAAACAGATTGTCAAGCCTTAGCTGGAAGCTGTGAAACGGCAAACTTTTGAACCACAGCCTTAATTATGTATACAAGTAGTACCGAAAAATATAAAGTGTCATAAAGTTTCCGTGAATAAACATCTGAAGACCCATAATCAAGCATAATTTGTGTAATCAGCCATAAAATTGCACTTGTTTGGGCGCTCCCAAGAGAGAAAATTAAATTCAATTGCATTTATTTCCGACAATTTATTTTTAAATTACATTTTCACATTTATGGATAACCTTTTATGCTCCGGAGTGGAGTCGGTCGGGTCTGGTTCGACTCTTTGTGCGTCTCTGTTGGCAAATTAGCCGGGGCTTGAAAAATCAGTGCGTTAAATTTAATATGTGTTGACATTTAAGTGCGTGCCACTGCCCTCCCATATGCAATTTAATTTTTTATGCCTAACTGTTTGCGTTCGGGTATTAAATATTTCATGCAGCTGGCGAAGACGGCCCCGACAAAAACAACAACATCAATAGCAAGGCTTTATAACAATAGCCATTACGGTTTATTGGGTCTGTTTGCCGCTGGTAATTGAGCATGCCATCAGCGAACATTTTGTCAATATAAACAAATCGGCAAATTGACAGCCGAAATGTTTTCTGCCGATATGCCCGTCAATTGATTTGAATTGCACGCCATATGCATTAGTTTTCTTTGTGTGCGAGTGCGAGTGCGTCTGGGTGTGGGTGTAGAAGTGCGCAACGTTGCGTATACGTATTTTCCAGCTGACATCGGCATTAATCGATTTATTTATTGTGCGGCTAACAATTTCAATATAAAACTCTGTAATATTTGATAAGCAGTTTTGTGTTGGCATCCACAATTTTGCAGCGACCGCCAAAAAGTATGCAACGATTTGCTCATTTAATTTTTGTGAGCACTGAGCTTTACAGTTGGGCTAAAAATATTAGTACCTGCTAATAGAAAAATTGCAATTGCTGGGAAACTAAGAAATCGAAGAAAAAGCAATCAGCTTTGTACGCTTAAGTAAAATGTTAAGTTTAAAAAAAGAGCATTAAAAATTCTTAAGAGCCCTTTTACAAACTCTGCCTATGTAAAAATAATATTTTTTATGATGTAATCGGATTTTTTCTAAGCTACTATTAAAGCCTGCTGCAAGCCTTCAGAAGAGACTTATCTAGAGCCATAAATCAATAATTGGTAACCAAAACTATCTAGTGAATCATCGGTCAATCAACTATAAAGACGCTGCCAAAAAGCACTATTATTTCTAAAATATTCTTTTTTAAACGCAAACAAGCTACATATTAGACCACAGATACAGGAAACTTTAAATTCATAACTGCGTTTATTCATACAATATACATATTCATACATGTACATGTACATATATCTATACATGCCCTGATATGAACGGTGTTATTTGGAAATGTTTATAAGTATTGAAACCTTCCGGGCGATTCAAAATGTTGCAGATGCTTTGCTTGGAATTTTGTCCCGGAACCAGCTTTGTGCTGTGAAATATCTTCACATATCTTCTTATGCACATATGCAGAAAACCCGACGCCCTGATAATTAATTTATACAATTTGCCACACTATGCTAAGTAATAAAAACCAGTTGCTAAACATTTTTATACATTAGTAGCTCCAGCTCCTTTTAATTACAGTTCAACAACATTTATCGAATCATAATAATGGTTTTTTAATAGCGCACAAATATTTATGTGCATATCAATAAACAGTTTAACAGTTCCAAACAAAGAAAATTACTTGCGAAGTACTTAAGCACATAGTATTTAGTCACTCACTAACCGATGATGGAAACGAAGTTGATTATTTTAGTGGTCCTAGTATCGCTGCTGCTCTTTTTCAACAACAACGTAATATTGAAAGGACTTCTCTAAATGAAATTACAATTTAAACTAAATCCTTCGATCCTGTATTCTCTTAGAATGCAATCATGATCAAAATGACGAATGCTGTTTGCGAATCATACAACAAGTCCTGCGTGGACATTCAGGAGTGTCGGCTGCGCGCAATTCGACGCAACAAAACGGTTCTGAATCTTCGAATCGATCTATTGGAACCGGCCAAGAACATATCGGTGCGAATGCAAATTCAGAAAAAGGCGAATGGCTATAAGCCATGGCTAGTGGATGTCACCTTCGATGCGTGCAGGTTTATGAAGAGGAACAATAATAAAATGGTACAAATATTTTCGAACCTAATAAGGAACTACTCGACTATAAACCATACGTGTCCCTATTCAGTGAGTAGTCTTTTAAAAATGTGTAAATATTCCGTTATTTGTGACAATACATATATTTTAAGGGCTTGCAAGTTATAAAAGATTTCTATGCGATTCCCAAAAACATACCCCTTGTGATACCAACTGGAGACTATGTGCTGCTTTTATCATGGACCTTAAACCAAAAACTGCAATTAGTGACAAACATTTACTTCTCGTATGTAGAAGATTTTTAAATTTGCGTATAATAAAAACGAATATTTTTGTGGTTATGGAAAATTGCTTCTTGTTTGAATTTATTGAAGAAGTAAACCGTTCTCTGCTCAAACTAGTATGGAATCTTGCATTCCCCCATGGTAAATATTCGGGGCCCCGGATTTATTGAATGCCCGATGGTAAAATAACAATATTCCCAATGTGCAAACATTTCTAACAGGAACTCTTTCCCAGTTATATCATTTATATGAAAACTACATAATATAATAATCTTCCAGAGGCTAGCGAAGATATGTCGAGATCTTCGCTAGCTTTTATAAATAAGAAAAAAATAAATATTTGTGTACAAAGAATTGACCCAATAAATGGATGGAATATTAAAATTGGTGCCCTACTTAATAAAGCTACCCCATTTTTGTGTATAACTATATTGAATTTAATTACTGTAGGAGAGAGTATACAAAAGTTACCCAAGTTATTTTATTCGAAATAAAAACCAAAAATTCTAACAAACAACTTCATTAATTTAAACAGAAGCTACTACAAATAAATTTTAAATTGTAGAAATAGTTTTATCCGTAAAATTACTTTAACTTTTCAAAACTAATTTTATTTTAGTTTATTTTATTATGTTGCATTTCATTTCTTAGCAATACATTTATTTAAAAAAAAAAAATAGAAATACCTATTTTTTTGTTAAATTCAAATTTTTGAAACTAAATATAAATGTATATGAATGAAAATATTTAATTTCAAAAGCGGCCTAATCTTCTATCAGTACATTAGTCCCCTCCCGCCCTGTATGTTACAGTAGAAATCACACAACATTATCGTTAACAGTCGCTCTCTTTCATGCCCTCTCTCGCTGCCTCACACTCGCCATTTCAAAGCAATAACAAAAACACTCGTTGATTTCTATATTATAAGTAGTGCAACAACAAAAAAATAGCTTTTTTGTAAGCCCACCACTTGAAGCTAAAGCTTTCGGGCATCTTTTCAGTTGCTTGTCGGCTGCTACGCAATTAGCACGCGTTCTTCTCTTCGCTGCAGGTCTTTGCTCGAACAAGGAACAGTTATTAGTAATTTCTATTAGATTCCAATTGACATTCAATTTAAATTTCCAAATATGTTGCGAATTCTGAAGTCCAGCGCCCTGTTGCGTGCAAACAGCAAAAATTTTGCCGCTGCCGTTGCAAATTACTCGGCGTTGCCGCAGCCACAGACCCAACCCAATATACTGTACACCGGGGTAAGTACAAGCATATAATAAACCTTATGTTATCGTGTAAAGAGCAAAGAGCACTTGTGTATTTATTTTTACATCCATCATTGAAAATTGTAAATTGTTTTTGAAATGTAAGTTTGGAACACCCAGAAGGAAAAACATACATACATTGACGGAACAAATTCAAATGACGATGTCCATCTGTTCGTCAAATTATATGCATACATATATTTTTAATTGATTCATAGAAGCAACTAGTGCTATTAAGTTGAAGGACTTTTGGAAAGGAGTGGCGGCTATAGAGCATTTAAGAGTCGCGCGACTTTCTTTTCTACTCGCTAAAAGTTTTCTCTGCATGGCTCAACTAGCATTCTCGATATGTGAGAGCTTGTTCAAATTTGACACGCTTCTCAGGTAGGCAGGTACACACAATTATGTTTGCATACATGTGTATGTATGTACGTATTTCAATTTCGAATGTGATTTGTCCTTGAGAACCTCAAAACAACGCGGCTGTCAGACTGCCTTATCGTTTAATTTGCCAAAGTTGATGACAAACACAAGGAAGACAAGAAAGAGGCAACGAACAAAAAACGCAGGGAAAAGAACAGCAAACAGGGGAAACAAAATGTAGAGGCAAAACAAAAGCTGCAAAAAGTGCCGTTTGTTTTTAAGAACTGGTCTTCGCGACTCCTTGTTGAGCTGTAACTTGCACATAACTTTATTATAAGTGGTACATAATTTAGATTTTCACTTTTAACCTTGTTCTGCTCTCTCAAAGTCATTGCTAATGTTTATTAGTGCTTTATGTGCACATTCCTTTGATAACGTGCGCATAATATATGTATGTACATATGTATTTATATACAAACTGCCGATAGTAGCGCATTGCGGAATCAATGCAAAGACCTCAAGCAAGTTCTACGCTCACGCGCGACCGACAAATGGGCGCCGGTTGTTGCTGTTATTGTTTTTGCTGTCACTGCCGCAGCCGCTGCTGCCGACGTCATTTTGGCGCTGTTATGCAACAGAGAGGAAGAGAGGCGCGATGTGCTGGGCTGTTGCTAACAGATAAAGCAATTTATATACAAAGCACTCGCCATTTTTGCGGTCGCTGTCGTTGCTTTTAATGCTCTTGTTTAGTTAATTTGCATAAATTCTACAATTTTGTAAGTTTCTCTGCGAATTTTTAGAGGTGTGCGCAGTTAAGTTTCAAGCGAGGTCAGTTTGAAAACTGACTGATTTTAAAATGTAAACAGTTATACACGTGTTTAAGGAACAAATGTATAACGAACGCAAGGCATCCATAAAATTACTCATTTTTCGCTATAATTTTGTTTCTGCTAATTCATTTGTATCGCATTGATAAGCATATATATGTAAATACATATGTATGTAAACAAGCCAGAGCTTATTGCGTCTCACAATAGTACATCTGCATAGGAATTCTAAAGTTAACATCCTTCACAATCTTACACTGAGAGGCATTGAGTTTGTAGAATGCTTTCTACGAATTTAAGAAACATCCCATCTTAAACACGTGCTTTTCAACCTTATTCTGTAGAAATATAGGCATCGCCAACTGATAGGCATCATGACAAATCCATTGAAACGCTCATCAGTCCGCAGACAACTGGTAGACATTACACGCCCCGTTTGCATGGACTTATGCAAAATCGTGAGCCAGCGAGTCTAGCGGAAAGTTTCGTTCCTCATTCCGAAATATATACATAATTCTTGCAAGTCACGATGATAAGCAAGAATTTAGTTGTGAAATAAACTTTTTCGAACAAACACAAATTTATTATTGTTTATATAAATAGACGTCACAGCTAAATCTAATTTGCTGGCCGGCCCAGCACAAAAACTTATTGATAACAGCTGACGAAATTCTCGCGATCTTTTTAAATAAACAGTAAAAACGCAACAATCAATAAATACAAAGTGCTAATCAAATAGATGCTCATACTCGTTTAATCGAAAACGTATACGAGTGTAGAGAAGGTGTGCGATAGCATGTCAAATGAGCGTCGGCAAATATTTATGTTTTGTGGAAGCTTTGTGTTTATCAATACTTTATTGACATTGTTTTTCCATATGTGTTGCAGCTTTTTATCAACAATGAATGGCACAAGAGCAAGTCAGGCAAGACCTTTGTCACCATTAATCCCACAACGGAGCAGTCGATTGCCGAGGTGCAGGCAGCCGGCAAGGAAGATATTGATGTTGCAGTGAAGGCAGCTCGAGATGCGTTCAAGTGAGTTAAACACATTAATAATAAATGCAATAGGAACATAATCCCTAGGTGGTAAGGTAATTCAAGAAGTTCGTATACCATTTTTTTTTATTCATTACAATATTATATTATTACTTCTCCAAAAAGTGAAACAATCCTAACTTTTTGGAGAAGTAATAATAATCCATATTATAAGTATGTATTTATTTACACATATTGCAATAAAGTTACAACTTTAAATATGTCTCATTATATGAGGGAGGAAGCTCAAGAAAAATCAACTAGTAAACCAATTTTTTATTAGATTTTAACATCCAGTTTCGGATTTATTTAAAATTTTAATAAAAAATCCGGTTTTGTCGAAAGATTTTCCCTGATTGTTCTTTTTTGTAGCTTTACGACGCTATTGTCCGTTGTCGCTTACCTTTAGACTTGGATATACAACAAGTTTAAAAATATAAATATATATATATATCGAGGAATGGTATTAGAGCTGGATTTTGGTTGAGAGCAAAATATAAAACCCTTTGATGTCACCATTACCTAAAATGAATGCATTCCCTTGCAATAATAATAATTTCTTCTAATGTTTTTGTCATAATCTTCAAATTGTCATTCAACAGACTTGGCTCGCCCTGGAGACGTTTGGATGCTTCAGATCGCGGTCGTCTACTCTACCGTTTGGCTGATCTGATGGAACGCGATCAGGTCTACTTGGCTGTAAGTATAACCATTAACCACTTAATCATTGAAGCTCCTGCTCACTTATATAAAACCTATATATGCAGAGCTTGGAAACTCTGGATAATGGCAAACCCTACAGCATGTCCTATAATGTGGATTTGCCCATGGCTATTAAGAATTTGCGTTATTTTGCCGGCTGGGCCGACAAGAATCACGGCAAGACCCTTCCCATGGATGGCGATTTCTTCGCCTACACACGTCACGAACCCGTGGGCGTGTGCGGTCAAATTATTCCCTGGAACTTCCCCATTTTGATGATGGCCTGGAAGCTGGGTCCAGCTCTGGCCACTGGCAACACGATTGTGCTGAAGCCAGCTGAGCAAACTAGCTTGACTGCCCTCTACATTGCACAGCTGGTAAAGGAGGCCGGTTTTCCCGCGGGTGTTGTGAACGTGGTCCCCGGTTTTGGAGATGCCGGAGCCGAACTGTCCGGTCACTCGGACGTCGATAAGGTTGCCTTCACCGGCTCCACCGATGTTGGTAAACTCATTCAACTGGCCTCTGGCAACACCAATCTGAAGCGCGTCACCCTGGAGCTGGGTGGCAAGTCACCCAACATTGTGCTCGCCGATTCGGACCTGGACTATGCTGTGGAAACCTCACATTTCGGTCTCTTCTTCAACATGGGTCAATGCTGCTGTGCCGGCTCACGCACCTTTGTGGAGGACAAGATCTACGATGAGTTTGTGGAGCGCAGTGCCGAGCGGGCCAAGAAGCGTACTGTGGGCGACCCCTTCGACCTGAACACTGAGCAGGGACCTCAGGTGAATGAGGAGCAAATGGAGAAAATTTTGGGTCTGATACAGACCGGCAAGCAACAGGGTGCCAAGCTGGTGGCGGGCGGCAGTCGTCCAGAGAACCTGCCCGGCTACTTTGTGCAGCCCACGGTCTTTGCCGATGTCCAGGACAACATGACCATTGCCCGTGAAGAAATCTTCGGACCCGTCCAACAGTTGATACGCTTCAAGAAGCTGGATGAGGTTATTGAGCGTGCCAATAATTCGGAATATGGCCTGGCAGCGGCCGTCTTCACAAAGGACATCGACAAGGCAAACTACATTGTGGGTGGTCTGCGTGCTGGCACCGTCTGGGTGAACACATACAATGCCCTCGCCGCCCAGACGCCCTTCGGTGGCTACAAGATGTCCGGCCACGGACGTGAAAATGGCGAATACGCCCTATCCAACTACACCGAAGTGAAGAGCGTCGTCGTCAAGGTGGCCCAGAAGAACTCCTAAGTGTCAAATAAGCCCTAGTTTTATTCAGAAAAATCAACGCACACATTCATTGGATACTCTATAAATATGTATTAGTATATGGTTTCATGTTTTATATTGTTTCTCCATTTTCCTTTTTCTAAACATAAATACATTTGAAATAAATTTGAGATAACAGTAGTTTTAAAACTAAATTGCTAGACATTTTTTGAGAAAAACTCGGAAGAAAACAGTAATGGAACACAACATTTTGAAAGCAATATATCGGAATCGTATATTCATAATCAGCACGACAATAGAAATCGTTTTAGATATGTCTGACACTTTGAAGCTGGATTGGATCTGAACTTCTGAAATTTTAAAAAGTTCGTAGCTGAACTTGTAAACTAACGTTCAAAACGAACTCTACATAATCAATCCTATAATTTCCAAGAGTTTAAGGCCTGTGTTTTTATTGAAATAAATAAGCCACTACAATAAATTGAAGTCAGCAGACTAGAAAGCAAACATTTCAACCAGAACAAAAGTTGAAAACACCCATGGATTTAATTTCTAGTTTAAGCTGATCTCACGGAATGCCTTTATGTGCTACTTGCGGTTTTTTATGACGCTTAGTTTATGGAACATTTTGAACTCAATGTCATTATTTTACTTATCCTGCACAACAGTCAGCACCCACATCCCATAACTCTTGCTAAGACGGACTGAAAAATATTGATTACTTTTGCATAAAGTACACAAAGCAGGAATAACAAAGAACTTACCCGCCCATCTAACAGAAATAAGCTCAAATTTATTTGCATTTATTGGCAATTCCTTTTTACGCTTTTGTTTTAGCTGTTATCCTTTTAGTAGCTACAGTGGCAGGAGCAGTGCAAAAACATGCATTGCTGGGGGATTTGGTCACACAACTCTAAGCACACACACACACATGCACACGCACACATACACAAACACGCGGAGAGATATGGGAGAGTCCATCCTTTCGTCTGTTCGTCCTTGTCTGTGCAAAGTTGTCCATTACATTGGACAGCAGCTGAGCGTGTCAAGTGCTCTGCGGTTGCTGCAAAAGTTTTGCTTCGGTTTTTCCCATGCTTGTTGTTGCTGTCCCCTCTTGCCATTGTTGTTGGTTGTTGTGGAATTGAATAAGCGCATTTGTTTGCAATTTATTTAAAATTTGTATTTCATTTTTAGAACGGCAATAAATTGCTTTTCTTTTTATATTACTCCTGGAAAATGCTGAGCTTCCAGAGTAAATAGAACACGCACAGTAACTACTATATAGATTGCAAAGACCAGTTGATTTATTTATGGAGCAGTAAGTCGGGAGGGGGGTGCTTGCGCTTGGCAGCAGACTTTAAGTGCATTTGTTTCGTAGAATGTTGTTAGAGCCAATTTGTAAGTGGAAGTAAAAGTGAAACAGCCAATAATCGCATTAGAAGGAATGTTGCTTTAATCATAATATCAGAAGGCGAAAATGTAAAATAAAATTGGTAAAAGTATTCAATTAAACTCACAGAGTATTACTTGTTTTACAGAAATGTTTTATTTGTAAAGCAAATTTCGTTTGCAAAATACCGTCTTATAAAAAAAAGTTCATTTCAAATCAAGCGAAAACTTATATTTAATTGTTGGATTGCTTTTGAAAAAACTACTTTTTAAATAATTTCAAGACAGAATTTGAATTCTACCTTCGTAGACGGATATGTGTGTATAGTAGAAGAAATGGCTCTAACTGATCAAAAATGGAATAAAATAGATTTTATAAAAACCAATTAAATGGCATAAATCTTCCTCTAGACTCTAGGAAAATCGATTAATAATAAAAATTCTTTATATAGTATTTGTGTTTTTCTATTATTAATTAACAATAAAGAGTTCAGGTAATGTTAACCAATTGTTCAATAAAATCAACGAACTGTCTTTCAAAAAACAAGCAACATCGTGTGATCTGATGCCGTTGGACAACATTTTGAATATATTTTCATTACATTTCAAAAAAATCAACTATACGAATTTCAATTTGTTTGCCAGAAACTTATCTGTCTTATCATAGTGTACTAAATGGCTCGATAAAGGATGCGCTGGATGTGCTGATGTCATAAAATAAATTTATCAACAAAACTGAGAAACTAATTTGTTGAAACAATTTTACGTGCAACAAAGTCAAAAGGTTCAGCCTAAAAGTATGCCATCTTTAGCATGCCGGGTTAATTTCCGTTCCATTACACATATAGTATAGAATCGTTTCGAAATCGTAAAAAAGGGTTCGGATGTGGAAAAAGAGAATCAAATTTGTTTCCTGTCTAGCACTTTTAGATAACTACTGGTAGTTCGCAGCCCATAACCATGGAGGAATAAATTCTTATTGTTAGACATACTTAATGGTATACCCGTTTACATATGTATGTAGCTTCTTAGCTCGTTTATATTGAATTGATATCGAAAAGCATACCTATACTAGTGTAGAGCCATCCTCTGTAAATGAATATTTATGCTAAATCAACAGACCAAATGATATCGACCATGCAAGTCGTGCTCATCTCAAACCCTTCAGTTGCCACCTTCTTCATTTATGTAAATTCACGTCCATTCCATGCACGTTTTGCGACTGAATTAACTACTTTATATATAGCTGCGACATTTGCTGCCTTTAATTAAATTCAACCATCAAAATTCATGACATTCCATTACGCTGATGCACATGTGGCGTATGCGTAATTATTTTAAGCCATCAAAGTTTTATATTCATTGCATTTATGCTCACCTACATATTCAAATTTGACAAACTGGCGACCAAACTATAGACCGAAAACTGTTAAGTGTCAAAAGCAGGCAAGAGAAAATTCACGCAGCTACAGTTATAAATGATCCATTGGCGAATTCATAATGCCCCAAATGGCGCAAAATATGCAGTTGGCCATGGCGGGGCCGTGGAATCCAGCGAGCAGGGGAACCCCCAATAAGCTGCCGCCAAATGCGCAACCGTGCGTAATGAAGCGCATGCACAGGTGCGCTCGAGCGTTGTAGTTTTTAGTTCAGGCATGAGTGCAAAGCATAATTGAAAACCATTTTAAACCAAAACAAAAAAATATCGCACTAAATAAAGGTGTGAGGAAGAGAGTGTGAAGGAGCGCTTAATGTGCGGACAGTAACAATTGTTACAGTGGAAAACAATTTAAAAGCCACAGACAGATAATTGTCATTTTAAACAATTATATTTGCAAATGAAGCAGAACTGTTTTGTGTAAACAAACATTTTGAAATGTTAAGAAATAACAACAGGTAATTAGTTGAAGGGTAAGTCGATTGATGGTAGCCCTTAGAAGCAAGCAAACAATAGTTCAGATTGCAATAGTGGAAGATTGCAAAATTATTCCAAATAATAGGAACAATACGAACAATACTTATATATCGCACACTATCTTATTATATAACAAATTGTTTATTTATTTAAAAACTTTTCAAGAGTTTACAATTAATGGATTTGTCATACTTGTATTTCAAAAAGTAAATAAGAGGTTAATTTATTTAAAACTCGAAAACTTTGAATTAGCATTTAAAAAGCTCTTTGTGGTTGAAGTCAAGTTATTGTGGCTTATTTCAAATTTTATCTAGAAAACTCATTGTATTTAAGTCTATTAATCATTTGGGGCTAATTTTAGAAGCTTTTTATATTATTGAATTGTTTATTGTGCATTTTATATTTATTTTAAGCACTGAAATTTTTAAACAAGCTGTTTTTTCGATTTTGTAATAGAAAAGTATAAAAAATTGCATTAAACTTGATTTGAACCTTTTTGGGAAATAAAACCAATCATTATTGCAAAGCCCAAGTACGATCTAGTATGTAATTGGAATACATTTTGTTTTGTTGACACAACGTTGCTTCTGCTGATGGCTAATTCGATCAATGATGGTAAACGATTAGTGTTGTTTTTATGTGATTGGCACTGTACATATTTTTTATATTCACTTTTTTTTGTTCACCAGCTGGCATGCAACAAAATTTTATGCTCGTGCCTTTAATTAACTTGCCAGCGGCGGCAGAAGCAACAACAACAACAGTAGCAGCCTCTGTGACCATATATAAGTCCAATTACAGTTATGATGCCTATGACCACAACTGTAACTCAGCATTTGCACTTCATTACGAAGCTGAGAGCAGGACGAACAGGACGGAGATGAAAAAAAAAACCGCGACGTTGGCCAATTTGCCGGCACATTTTTTTCCGATTTTTTCGGATTTTTCTTTTTTCTGCTGCTCTTGCGCTGGCAGTATTAAGTGCCAGCAATTCGACTTTATCGCATTGTGTACACTCGATTACATTGTTATGGCTGCCAACACGAAATCTAGATGAGGGAAGGCTGTATATACGAGACACAGTAGCAACAAAAGCAATAACAACGACAACAACAAACACCTAGACGAGGCACTGGTTTGCAAAACAAAAATAAAAACAGAAAAAAACAAAAAATGAAAACCAGCCCGATGCCAAGCATCCCTTTGATCATTAGCCGGAAAATGGCCATGGACGTCGGTTATGAAAACTGCCAACACAATAAGATAAGCAAACAGGACAAACGAAATGTGCCACAAAAGGAAGCAGGCGAGCCAGCAATGGAATTGGTAAAAAATGTAAACAAAGGCTTAGCGAAGGACAACAGTCGGGATTAGTAGGGTAGGCGAGATCGAGACACAAATTATTTTCAGCAACGCTCGACTTGTCGCATGGAGGCGAGGAGAATTGCCATCACCTTTTCTTGTTCAAAAAATTTGAAATTATGCAAAATCAAAAGCACACACTTCGACGACATCAACTAGAATTAGAGTGCAACGCACTTAACCCAATAACTGCCTTCAAATGCGCACTCAATATGAGTTCTGAAGAGTGTGTCTGGGTCTGTTTGGGTGTGTTTGGATGTGTTTGGATGTGTTTGGATGTGTTTGGTTGTGTTGCCCTTCCACGTATCATCTATGCTAAGCACGCTAAATGCTTTGCAGACACGTCGCCATTTTATGGCACCATTTTTTCATTTTTCTTTTTTTTTTTGCCAAACTTAATGCATAGTGGGCCAATGGGCTCAACGACTAACATAAATCCATTTGTTTGACTCTACTAGTGAAGTGCCCTCTGTGATGTCGATATTTAAGCCACCTAATAAAAAGTCCTGCTTTAAAAAGTCTAGCATA